CTGTTGTCTGAAGTGCTGTGTTGAGACAGTAACTTGACAGTGCTTGCCTTTAGAGAGACCAGCATGGTTTTACTACTTAAGGTTAGTACTGCTTGATTAATGCTGTTGTGCCCCTTGACTAATACAAGTCTAGATCTTGACTAAGACCTTTTCTTTAAAAAAAAAAAAAAAGGAAAGATCATTATGAGCCATTACGTTACTGCATATATTTAAATAAATGTTTAATGAGTCTGAGAACACAAGCCTTAAAGGTGGAAAATCCAAAAGTACTATAACTTTTTCTAAAACAATTTCATTGTTCTAGGTTTAAATTTAAATGTTTTAATTCTTTTATTTGTTACTAGTGGTATCTTTTCATGCTACACTAGTTTTTGTCCATGACAAGTCATTATTCATGTAGCTTTCAGGAGATTGTTTAGCTATTTATTTCACAAGACTTACAAATTCATCATTTAGTGGGCTCAGAAAATGAGTTCTTTTATGAACAGGTATCATAGACGCACAAAAGGAGAAGCACTCTGTGATAGATGAATTGTCACCTAAGTCAGTGAGCTTAAAATCCAGTTTTGATTTATGATTGTTGTAATAAACAGTCAAACTCTTCTATTAAACATGCTGTTCTCCATATCAAAGCGGGTATGTGCCAAGACCCAAGTCAAAAAATGTACAAGATTAGTCTGAAGTCTGAATTATAAGGGCAAATAAATTTTTGATGGAAGTAATTTCTGAACATGGATGCCTATGCAAGAGATGCAGGCAGAGCAGAATGAAGTCAAAGATGACTAGAAACCTGACTTTAGATGAAGAAGCACAGGCAATGTAAGCCTGAAGGAAAAAAAAATAGAGATATAAGTCCATAGGCTCTGGTGCGTTTGCACCCACAGATGCTGAGGTAGCTACTAATATGCTGAGGACCACTAAGATAATTAAGAGCTTTATCTCCCATAAGAAAAAGCTGAGATAGCTGGGGCCATCTAGCCTGGAGAAGAGAAGGCTGGAAGGATCTCATCAATGTCTATAAATACCTGAAGGGAGGGTTTAAATAAAATGATGTCCAGTGACAAAGCAAGTGGCAGCGAGCACAAATTGAACAGTAATTTCCATCTGAACATCAGGAAACGCTTTTTCAATTGTGAGGGTGACCAAACAATGGCACATGTTGCACAAAGAGGTTGTGAAATCTACATCCTTGGAAACAGTGAAAAGTTGTCTGGACACAGTTCTGGGCCACCAGCTCTAGATGACCCTGCTAGAGCAGAGGCTTGGGCCAGCTGACCTTCAGGGACCCTTCCAAACTCAGTGATTCTGTGACTCTGTGACTTTGTGATTCTGTAGACAAATATACCTTCCTGAAAACAGCTGTCATAGTTCTTACCTTAACTAATTGCTTAAGAGAGTTTCATCTTGCTCTTCTCTCTGAGCACTCTTACAATTGACAACCTCAGGCTTTATAAGGCTTTACACAGCAGTACCTCCTATTTAGCCTTCAGCCAACTGAGTATTCCAATTTTTGCAGTTTTTTATGGCTTTTTCATGAAATAAAGCAAAAGGAAAAGCACAAGAATTCATCAATATCCCACAACCATAAAACTCCGTAACTACCTGTTTTTCACATTGAAGACAATTTTTTTATATTCTTGAAGACATGAATCTTCAAGAACCTAGAATAAAATTCTTTCCTATAGCTATTCAAACACTTGATCTGATGAATGATGCTGTGTCAAAGCAATGTGTCTAATGTATTTTTTTCTGACAGGCCAGAAATTATTTGAGATACTGAAATAGAAAGAGGTAGGCGCGGGCATATCTTGCAAGTGTCTAGAATGGCAAAACATGTTGATTAATCAGAAAAAAAAAACCAACAAGTCTTTTATTCTACTCTTTACTGATTTATTTTCCCACTTTGAACATTTTTTCATGCAGGCATTACAAGATGTAGCTGTTGATATCTGGTAATCTATGTGGAACACCAATTAGAGCTAATTGCTTCTTTGTTAGAACCTGTTGTGTTTTATCTGATTTGTGTATAAACCATATAAACAGTGCAAAGATAACCAAGATACCTTATCAAATCTGGCAGATGATAATAAAGTTACTTTTTCAGAAAGCACTAGAAAAACAATGGAATTCTGAACCTTGCAGTGCTTAAGATGATAGGTATTAAATGAGCAACCATGGCTGTCACTAGAGGGAGCGTTTGTAACAGTGGAAAAAGATGCTTGTCGATTTTCACCGTGTTTAAAGTACTAGTAACCTGCAGGGGTCTTTGAAAAAGCACCAGGAAAAATAAATCTGCAATGTACTGCATATGTAAGAGTCATTTTTCTTTCCTATTTGTTTATTAGAATCAGAGCATAAGGCATTTTAATGGATTAAAACTGCTTAATTTCTGTAGCCTCAGGGCATACAGGATTTTGAATGTCTGTTCTTGGGTTTATGTTTATAATTGTGGATGTACACATGTCGGTGATACTTTTAATACATTAATTGGTTTTAGTATGTGAAAAAGCAACATTCATTAATTATCTCCAGGGGATGATACATGAAAAAGTTACACTGAAGCTGAAATAAAAGTGGGGGAGAGAGGGTTTTGAAGAGAGTACACACAAGACATCACAACAAATCACCCCAGCGGTACTGTCATTAGAGAGGAGACACACATCCCTACTCTCTTCCTGCAAACTAGGTCATGTCATGAAAAGTAAGGACTCCTCTGTTGTGCTCCTAGTCATACTAGGTCATCAAGATTGATTGTGAGAAGAGAGAGATTAAACCGGAAAAGAGGGGAAAAAAAGAAGGCAAGTTCTGCAGATCCTGGCAAAAGCCTCCCTGCAGCATGGGTGGGCATTGAGGTGTTTCCAGATCTGGGAAGGATCAGTGGGACTGAATGGAGCACACAGTAAGGAACCCTGAGTTTACACCAGAACCCCATTCTTGCGACTTGCCCTCAGAGATCAGTAAGAATGTGTATCTTGTCTATGGTCCCCAAAACAAGAAGACAGGCCATACTTCATAAACGCCAGGTAATATTAACCTGGGTGTGTTGGACAACAATGAGGGGGTAGGCTACTGAGTAGGTTGTTTTGTGGCTTTTAGCAACTGTGGTAATGTTGCACTTGCTGTCTCCAAGTTACTGTGCCAAACAGGATATGATGTGTCTCGTTTCCACAGAGGGCAGGATGGGATGGGACAGGACAGGATGGAATTGCAGCCCAGAAGTAGGTGTACTTCCACACTCAGAACCGGTACTGCTTTGTGGCTTTCTTCTTTGTGAAATTTGCCATTAGCCCTTGGCTGGGAAAGAATATGATCTCACTGCTGAAACATGGCGACACTGAACACATTGCAGCTTCCAGCAGCTTGGTCTGTCTTACACTGTACCAGAGTCTCCCTTAGCACTGACCAAAGTAGGGAACAGTTACAGAGCTCCATATCTGACTTGGCAAGACAGAGTCACATCTTTTCTCTCATCTATGCCTCAGTGGAGTGTGTAGCTCTCTTGTTCATTTGCCTTGAAATTCAGTGATCTGCCTATGGCTTCACTGTTATTTAGTCAAGTTGATAGGGACACCAAAAAATGGTGGTGGGTGGTGGCTCTTAGGGCTGCAGGTGAGTTACAGATATGGGCAGTGTGCCAGAAGGACATGACTGAGCAGGGTATGAGACAGCCAGCATTCCCAAAGGAATTCCATGCAATGCAGATTGAAGTTGTCTGCACTCTGTTGTGGGTGCTTCAGCTTGTCCCCTCACTGGATACCCAATCCGAAACAGGATAAGTATATCTGATGGATTCCTCACTTACACAAGATCTAAGTGCTAATATATGCCCATATGATCAGGATTTATATTATATTTCTTTGCGGGCATAATATCAGTTTCTCACCCTAAAAAGGTGTGTTGAGGGAATTAATTACATCTAGGAAACACATACTGATGAACTGAAATTAAAGCATCTCAAAATAATATCTGATCTGTTGTACTCAAAACGTTTGAGTAACTCTAATCTAGCTGGAGGAGAAGTATTTATCCAAGAAGATTGTGGTCTAATTTTTTACTATGCATAGGTTACATTTTCAAGTTTCCTTCTCCCAAGGCTACAAACATTTATGCTGACATTTTTCTTGTTGTGCACCTACTTCAGGTGACAATAATTCCACCTTGCTTCTCTCAGGGTTAGATTTATTTGTTTTTCTTTTTTTCCTTCGGTGAATGTATTTTATCTTTTCTGATCATGTGGAAAATGCTAGTCTCTCCTTTTCATTTTGATCTGTCGTGTGAATTTCAAAATCACTCTTCCGAATTTTCAGTACTTTTTTTTACTGCTTTACATTTACTGCGTGTCTAACTTGCAGACAGTGAATTTTTGCTCGGTGTAAAGATCTGTCGTAACTTCACTGCTTTCACAGGTGACTTAGCATGGCTCTTACTCAGCCCCTTCCCTCCTCCCTTCTGCAAAGATGCCGGGAGAGACGTTCGGGGCCAGGCGTCGCTCCGCTACCTTTGAGAACGGCTCTGCGGCTTGTCTCTCTGCCGGCGCGGAGCCGGGGCCCGTGTGGCCTCGGCAGGGCTGTGCTGGGCAGGGCAGGGCGCCCGCTCGCCCCCCGCAGTCCCGGCCGCTCGCATCAGGTGGCCCCGGCGTTTCGGGGCTGCGCTGGACTCGCCGGCGGCGGGCGGCGCGGCCCCGGTGAGAGCGGGGGCACGGGCGCTGCCGGGGGACAGGCCCTGCGGGAGGGGTGCAGAGGAGCGGGGGGGTCAGGCCGGTGTGGGACAGCAGCGGCAGGGACGGATGGCCGGCGGAGTGGGCGCGGGGCCGGGGGGAGGAAAGGGAGCCTGCCCCATGGCGAGGGCGCGAAGAGTTCCCTGAAACCTCTCCTGACCCGCTTAGGGAGGAGGCGGCGTTGTCCTGCGAAGGTGACGCCTTTCACCAGCAGCTTTTCGCGGAGGGGCAGCGTTGTCTGCCCCTGCAGCTCTGGGGTCTCCTCGTCCCCTCGGAGAAGCGAGGGGCAGAGCGGGAGCGGGCGGTGGAAGATGCTGTGCCTCCCGATAGCCTTCCAGTTGCTGCTGGTGCTGGTGCTGTGCAGCCAGGGCACAGAGAGGTGCCCTTCAGCCTTCTGCGAGTGCTCTGACTGGGAGGACTACAAAATCACTTGCAGGGACATCCACTTTATTCCCAGCCTTCCGGAGGACACCCAGACCCTGTGAGTACCTTAGAATGGTTTAGGGGAGGCACTACCCAGTTTTGAGTATTCTTACTTTGCCGGCAGGAGAAGCTCTGAGCTAATGCCCTGCGAGATAAGGAAGTTGTGAGCGGGGAAGTGCCGCAATTTACTTGAGCACTACAGCATAGCGGGAGCGGCAGTATGCGGACTCTTGTGTGACAGGAGGAGGTAGGAAACTCAGCCTTATAGAGCTGTGAAGAGATGACTGTCCACTGTGTCTTAAGAGTTCTGTGTAAAATGTGGGAAAATTAGTAACTGGGCAAACTGAGTGGAAGGCTGGATTCTGTGTGGGAAGTGCCTAGAGGGTGAGGTGAGGGAGGGGTAGATCAAGCATAGTTTTGTAATTAAAAAAAAATAATAGGAATTGGATATGCCACCTCACAAGGAGTTCCACAAATTCTTCTATGCATTTTCAGCTTCTTTGTCAAAGCCAGAAAAAAAAAAAAGAATCCATGGGAATTCAGAATTCTAATACACCGTCTGGGAGATGAAGTACTTCAGATAAACAAAAGTGTGGAGTGTGGGATAAAGCAGCAAATTTGGAGCTTGCCAAAGTCATAAAATAATTCAGGTACCTAAGCCTAAGTGGTACCATAACAGGCACAGTAAAAAATTTTGTCTGGATTCCTGCTGCCAGTCCAGATGGGCAGCTTGTGTCATATCTGTCAGATAAATACTGTAGGGAAACTGAAATGGCACCAGTCAGCTAAAACTAAGATGAATCACTCCTGGATTTTACTTTGCTTCATGAAGTACAAACTGTTTCTAGTCTCCAAGGGAAGGTTCAACTGTATATATAGACTACTTTCTGATGAAGTAAACGAACTCAAACTGAGTTGATTTAGTTGCAAGATAAAACAATAACAGGTTGATTGGTTTATGTCTTGATAATGATTCTCAGGACTTTATTTGAAAATGTGAACCATTAAGTCATTTGAACTTCTCAAGATTCTTTAACACCTGAAAGTAAAGGTTTAGCAAATTAATCACTAACCTGAAAAGACAGAAAAAATTATTGATGTTATTTCCATTATTTTTATATACCTTTAATTTTTTGGATGATTAGACTGTAATATTTCAGTTAATAGGGTTTTAAACTATATAGGTTTTCATTTGGTTATTATACTTTTATATACGCACCTTATTTAAGTTGAAATTGCTGTAACATTACCGTATGTACGTTACCAAGTAGTATGTTCTTTGAAATCTACCATGACAAGTTAGAAAATAAAGCAGTTTCAGTTCATAGGAGAAATATGCCTTTGTATGGGCATTTAAAATAGTTAATAGAAGCAATAAGATCACATAATGAAAATGGATACTTTTCTTGAAAAAATGCTGGTATGATGGCTGAGAAGTACCTCTCTACATACAGCTTCTCAAATAAGCACTTCAGCCACTGGAGTTCTAGTGTTTTAAACACCTGTAGTAATGAAGGCTTTAAGATCATAAACCACTGTTTTTAAAAGATTAAAAACAGTCAGTGACGATCTTATTTCCATGGGAAAATAATTAAGAAAAAACAACTGAGAAATATTTTTCTGTTTATATTGGGTGGAATTTAATCATCTGTACCAACTACAGTGACCATTGCAAACTTCTCAACACAGGTACTCCCTCCCACAGACAAGAAAATATTCCAGGTAATGACAATTGTGATTTTATAGCGTATGGTTGAAAAGGTAGAACATGCGCTTTATAGTCTTTTATTTGAAAATACATGGGAAAATTATTTGGGGAAATAAGGAAAACAGAGCTCTTTGCACAGACAAACACCCCCCCTCCCCCCCGTGAACAACCAACCACAACACAAACAAACAAACAGCACAAAACCAAACCAAACAAAAATATCCCACAACATTTTTTTACTTCAGTTTGCAGTTTTCTCTCTGGATAAAGTGTGTATATTTTCCTTCCGTATTATTACTTGAATTGCTGAAGTCAGGGGACTATATCTGATTCTGTAGTCCCTCAGCAAATGACCTAATCTTTCTTTCACTCCATATATTAAATGGGAGTCATAACAGTTACTTATATGTGTCTGTTATTGAGAGTGCTTTCAGGTGTTTCAGAAGGGATTACTTGCACGTGGCAGATAACACACAGTTTTCCTAAGAGATTGTAAAGCATGTGCCCCTGATTCTGTCATGCTTTGCATCCTTCTGCCTTACAAGTGGCAACAGTTCTGAATTAAAGGCAAAAGATTCAGCAGTAAGTTTCTGCAAGCCTTAGAACAAATGAACGCTTCTTTGAGGTGAAGTATGTAGCTGTACATGTCTGCACATTGTATGTTGAAACTCTACAATTTTCCCCAAATCCAACAACTTTGTTACATTAGGCAAAGTAATTCTGCTTGGTGGTGGTAATGTGTGAACCTCAAGATTGCCAATTTTAAAACTTTCTTATGTGGCTATTCAGTTTTGTAGGGTTGTAGAACTAAGAGGCTGGTTAAAGTAAGAACACTTTGCCAGCTTTTGGAGATGATGAGCTCTTTTCAGTCCACAGGATCTTGAAACTCCAATTAAAATTTCATTCTGATGAACAGTCGGGACTGTTCTCATTTCTTTACCCTACTTTAAGAGAATGGGCTAAGCCTTTATTTTAACAAGCCATGCTTATAAGAAATTCCAATAAATGTTTATTTCCAACTCTTTTCATGGAAAAGTGACATGAACTTAAGCCAGGAAAGTGTGCTTGTTTTAAACTGTTTATGATGTATTTATCCAAATGTAGTTAATGCAGGTGATTATCCAGAGTGCCTGAATGCACAGATATTGATCTTGGAGATGTCCTTTTTTCAATACAAGTTTGTTTTTTTTTTAGTTCCTTTCCTGGGGAATAAACAAAATAAGTAGAAAGAAAAAAGTTTTATGTATCGTAGGTAATTCTTATCTTATTGCCTGAAGTTAAGGGTTATATGATCCCTCTATAATATATTGATACCATACTATGGCAGGAAAGCAGTTCTAAGTGGTACTGAAATACATTACTAAAAAAATATGAAATTATATATCAATAATTTTGTTGCATCTAAAGTATATATTATACCTCTCTCTGCACAGTTGACACCTTGACTTCATCTGTTGCTATTTTACCCCTGCAATGTCCTCCTTTGCTTCTGCCTTTGCTTATCCTTGACTCCAGCACTCCTTCATGCTGTGGCAGGGGCACTACATGCAATGGTACCGAGATCTCTGTCCCAGCCCCTTGGCTGACAGTGCTTTTCTCTTTCACCAGCAAAGTGCTGGAGCAGGGCAGCAATTGGTGTTCTAACCTCTTCTATGTTTGGTGGAATATACCAGGGGAGATCCTGGTCTTACAGTTCAAGCAGATCCACTAGGAAGGGAGGGTTAATGACTGCAAAAAATTACTTACACTTACAGATCGCCAAAACCTCACTGAACATCTGTCCAAAGCTACAATCATCATAATGCTTGAATTATTGTAATACCCTTTTTGGCATCATTATGATGACATATTCAAATGGTATCACTATCCCAAATTCATCTCAATGCAGTTCCCAATGCTTTTCATTTTATTAGCCTATTATTAGTCATTTTTAATTACTTTTCTTTTGGCAATAAAACTAATGAAGTTTTGCTTCTTGTTCATTTGTGCACTACATCTCCTGCATTCACTTACTAAAATAACTTCTGCTCTTTTCCCTTTCCCTTTCCCTCTCCCTTTGCTTTTCAGAGGGGATGCTAGTAAGGTTTCTATCCTGTACCCAGGTGCTCTTTTCACATCAACTTAATCAAATTTGATTGAAACTGAAAAAGAGGGAATTTGGAGGGGACAGTGGAACTGGCATATAAATAGATACAAAACCAGTACAGTCTTTAAGAATATGCTCTTTACATTAGGTATTTATTTACAGTTCTTCATCTGCTCCAGGATATTTGCCATAGGTAGGATACTGATTTTTGAGCTCAGCCTTCAGGCTGACATATGTCATGTTTACTATACTGGTAGGGGTGAGCACGTGGTGGATACTCTCATAACAAGATGTAGCAAAACAGCTGGCCTGTTTAGTTCCACCTATTGTTGTCAGCTTTTGATAAAGGACATATGGAAACTTTGTAATATCTTTTACATATTTACAATGTGATACTTAGAAGTAGCAATTATATGTCAAATATTCATAAATACTTACTGATAATTTTTTTTTTTTAACTGCAGAGCAAAATACTTAGGGACTTTACTGTTTTATCTGTAATAACTGGTATCCACGTTTTTTGTATGCATGATGAAGAATTTAAAGCATTTTAATTCACAGAAGCTATAAGTAGAACTGAAGGAGAGATAGTGTCTCTAATTTATATTCAAAATTATTGTGCTAATTTAAAATATTTCCCCCCCAAACCTAGGTCCTAGGAATTTTCTGAAATTCAGAGATATTCTGACTTCAGGTAATTCTAATGATTATCTTTTTTTAGACTTCATTACTTCAGAATTAAGTGTAGACCCTCATAAATACATCTTCATAAACAACCTTGCAACATAAGCACATAATTATTATCCCTATTTTAATGACAAAGTACTGAGAGTCTAAAAGAACAGGAAAAACACTGACATGGTTAGAAAACTGAAGGAAGCTAATAGAGCATCCTTCAGAAAATGGAAGTCATGCCCAGAAATGGAATTTTTTGGAAACTTGAAGTAATACAGTAAAAAAATATTTTGAAGAGAAACTTGTAATATCATGAAAACTCAGTATAACCTTTAAAACACATCAAATGGTAGGCCTGAAAAACTTTGACCAAATTAAAGCATCAGTATGAAGTTTATTTGAAACAAACTGAAAAATTGAATAGGTTCAAGTAGCCTGAGCCAGATAATACTTGTGTAAGAGTTCCAAAGGCAAAAAATTGCTGCATTGCCTACTGTAGTATGTAACTTACCATTTAAATCAGCCATGGTGACAAAAGAATGCAAGGTCACAGGTGTAGTATAATCCTTTTTTAAAAGTGCTTTAGAAA